TGTCGTTACCGAATAGAGGCTGAAAGTAGGCACATTTTGTATCAGGCATTATTTTCTGAACAAATCTGGTTTTCACGCCAATTAAAAAAAATTGAAAAAAAAACGCCGATTTTGAAAACCGCTCACAGACTTTGGCTCATATTTAGAGAACCAGTTGAGCTGCAAAGCTCTCGTTGTCAGTACCGAATAGAGGCTTAAAGTACGCACGTTTTTGTATGAAACGTTATTTTTCGAATGCTTCTGGTATTCACGCAAAATGAAAAAATTGGAAAAAAATGCGCGTGCTGAAAACCGCTTTTAGTCCTTCGTTCATATTTAACGAAGCGGTTGAGCTGCAATACTTTAGGTGTCGTTACCGAATAGAGGCTGAAAGTAGGCACTTTTTGTATCAAACATTATTTTCTGAACAAATCTGGTTTTCACGTCAAATAAAAAAAATTGAAAAAAAAAACGCCGATGTTGAAAACCGCTCACAGATTTTGGCTCATATTTAGCGAATCAGTTGAGCTGCAAAGCTCTAGTTGTTAGTAGCGAATAGAGGCTTAAAGTACGCACGTTTTTGTATGAAACATTATTTTTCGAATGCTTCTGGTTTTCACGCAAAATGAAAAAATTCGAAAAAAATGCGCGTGCTGAAAACCGCTCTTTTTCAAAAAACTTTTTTTGATGCCAAATGTCAATTTAGGAACGTTTTTTGTTTTTCACGCAAAATGAAAAAGTTCAAAAATAAAATGGGTTTTGTAAATGTGATACTGCGAGCGCGTAAAATAGACGGAAACGCAACGCTGGTCATACGACCGTAGCACAGATCATAGAGTAACCTCTGTGATCTGTGGGCCGTAGAACATTCCAGTCAATGTCCAGTGACGTTTCTAGACTTTTTAGAGAATTCGCCGGATTTCTAAAAGCTGATTTAAGCAGATATTGAATTGGCGAACTGAAAAGTCCATAAATCGAAGTCCGGTTGTGTTAATTCAAATTGCGTCTAAACGTTTTCGCGTGCAGTACGGATTTCTCGACTCTTTCAAACGCCCAAAATGGTAACAGTATTTTGGTGTTTCACTACTCTATCCGTGTCTTTGTTAAGGTGCATGATTGGGGTTTAATTGCAGATCGAACTCCCTCAGGCAGGGCCTGCCGAACATCGGCAACCCGAAGAGGAAAAGCAGCCTGGAGGATATTGGGCTTTCGCACTTTTCCACCAAGTTCCAAAACCCCATCAAAATCGCCCTGAACGACAGCATCGGCCTGGAAGTTACTCCTCCCGAGGAGGACAGCCCTCCCATTATGTCCAGCAATACAGCCATGGTGGTCAATCCTGTTTCCATTTTTGGCGGCCCCCCGATTCATACAGCCAGCACTTTGAGCCTGCAGTCGATCGGAGCGATGCC